AATACCTTTGTATGGTGACAAATGGTAACTAGACTTATCATGGTGATCATTTTGAAATGTACAGAAATGCTGAATTACTATGCTGTATATCAGGAACCAACACAGTGTTTTAGGTCAATTATACCTCAAAAACAATCAAACAAACAAACTCATAGAAAAAGAGATCAAATTTGTGGTGACCAGAGGTAGGGAATAGTGGGAAAGGGAATTGAATAAAAGTAATCAAAAGGTACAAACTTCCAGTTATAAGACAAATAAGTACTAGGGCTGTAATGTACAACACGATAAATATAATTAACACTGTTGTATGTTATACATGAAGGTTGTCGGAGAGTAAATCCTGAGCTCTAATCAAAAGGAAAATAAATTTTTCCTATGTCTGTAATTTTGTATCTATAAGAGATGATAGAAATTCACTAAACTTACTGTGGTAATCATTTTATGATGTATGTAAGTCAAATCATTATGTTGTATACCTTAAACTTATACAGTTGCTGTATGTCAGTTACATCTCAATAAAACTAGAAAAAAATCAATGTTACATTTTTTTCCACTTTAGAGAAAATTATTTTCTAAATCATCAACAAATTAAATTTATACAGAAAAAGAAGCTACCTTGGCAAAACTTCTTACTTACAGGATGCATTTAAGTTTTAATTTAAGTAAGGTAAAACACTCAATTCACAATTGTACTATCAGCAAATAGCCTCTAAATAATCACAGCACATACAAAACAGTGCTATGTTAGCTAGTTACAGAAGTACTAATACAAATCATCCTGGTTTGCCTGGGACTTTTCCAATTTTAGCACTGAAGGTTCTACATTCTGGAAACCCTTCAGTCACAGATAAACCCAGGTAACTGATGCCACTGAGACATTGAAAAAAAAAAAGGATTTACAGTTCTGCACTGGAAAAGAAGAAATTTGGAGTCATATTTGGTAACTCCTAGCTAGGGTTGCCAGATTAGCTGTGACCCAGTCACTTATCAGTAGGTCCAACAATCTACTTAGAACACGGATTCAAATCTTTAAAAAGAGCCCACCAGACCCAAACCTACCAAGGAATACCCACTAACAATGAGTCATACGTGAATACAGGATGCTGCCTGAAGAAATGCAATATAATTACCCAGCCCCTAGTACACACGTATATCTAGTTTCACAGCCAGAATTAGCCCTGGAACAACAATTCTGTTGCTGGGAAGGAGATATTTAACAAGTCCTAGGAGTCAGAAGCTCAGTATCAAGTCAGCCTCATTGCTAACTCTCACCTTAACAAGCCATTCTTTCTAACTGGACTCTTTCCTGTTTCTAGGAATCTAACCTCTCTTGAAATCTATTTCCAAGTATCAGATACTTTGCCTTTGTTACCATGTGAAGTAACAAAGTTTCTCTAGGACCAGAGTGCTCTGAGGCTTCTGCTTCTTCCCTTAGGGTCTAAAATCACCATTTTGCCAACATGCTGAAATGTGTATCTTCCACTCATTGTTCGATTTCTCTGTTGCCAAATACCATCTATTAATGGCCAGTTTCCATACTCCAGTAACATTCCATCTGCCTGTACAGATTTCTTCCTAAAACCCATTACAGGGAACTTTTGGATCATCTGAAGTATTGATTAGACACTATACTCTAAGAATCCGCCCTCCCCAGTATGGTCTAGCCAAACTGAACTCTAGGACTAGTGGCTCTTAATTCCTGGAGAAAAAAACTGAAGGAACTGGGAACATGAATGACTTTAAATCTCTTTTTCCGAATAAAATTTGTAATTTCTGAAGAGAAATGAGGCTATGGGAAATGAACATCTTGACTAGAAAAAAAAAAAAATACCGAGAATAGAAATTGAATTTTAGACCACTGCTTTAAGAAACCAATTAACAGGATCCTGATCACAAAACCAAGAACATGTCTGAATCATGAAAATAATCAAGAAGATTTTGAAACTAAATTTGGAGAGAAGAGAAAAAAATGCATCTTATTATGAAAAATTTAAAACATATATACAGAAGAATAAAGCCCCATGATCATTCATTCCCAACAATTATTATGTTGCCGTATCTGCCCCATTTATTTTTTTCCTTTGCTGAAGCAAAATATAGAATTTAAAAAAATAGGATGCTAAGGCAGAAGATGAAAAGAGTCAGAGTAAAATAATTTTCAGGAGAAAAGTAACAGAAAAGAGAGCAGGGAACAATATTTACATATTTAGAGAGTATCTACCAAGGCCAAATATGAGTAATAAGCAGCTAAAATAGAAATTTTAGGTTTTTTTTTTAAAAAGTACATCTCATTTCAGTACATATGGGAAAGCTCTACACCAAAACGTCAACAGAAAAGCCATGAAAAAAATGTACAGTAGACATTTCCATTAATTTATAAGCAATTTGAGATATAGTAAATTATGAAGGGATTTCACAAAAATGATAAATTTACTTAGGTATGAAGAATTAAAGTTTGAAAATGCTCTACTAGTGAAATAAAATGAAAACAAAACTTTATTTCCAAGCATTTTCCATAAGTACGTGGGAAATCTTGAAAGTTTAAAAACTTAAATTACTTATCTAAATGAATGTGTCTTCCCACAAATAACAGATGTTGGCAAGGATGCTGAGAAAAGGGAACAACTGTACACTGTTGGTGGGAATGTAAACTGGTGCAGCCACTATGGAAAATGGCATACAGTTCCTCAAAAAAAACAAAAATAGAACTACCATATGATTTAGCAATTTCAGTCCTGGGTATTTATCTTTAGAAAATGAACACACTAATTTGAAAAGGTAAATGCACCCCAATGCTCACAGCAGCATTATTTACAATAGCAAAGATATGGAAGCAACCTAAGTGTCCATCAACTGATGAATGGATAAAGATGCGGTATATATGTACAATGGAGTACTACTCAGCCATAAAAAGAATGGAATTCTGCCATTTGCAAAAACATGAATGGACCTGGAAGGTATTGTGCTTAGTGAATAAGTCAGATAGAGACAGACAAATACTATATGTTATCACTAATGTGGAATCTAAAAATAAAACACATGAATGAATATAATATAACAGAAACTGACTCAGATGAGCAAGCTAATAGTTAAACCAGTGGGGAGAGGGAAAAGGGGTAGGGGATTAAGAATTTCAAACTACTATGTATAAAATAAGTAAGCTACAAGGATATACTGTACAGTACATAGCCAATATTTTACAGTAACTTTAAGTGGAGAATAATTTATAGAAATTTTGAATCATTATACACCTGAAACTAATACAGTAAATTAACTATATCTCAATTTTTAAAAAGTGTGTCTTCTCTAGGCCAGGAACTGTAAGTATACAACTACTTGAACTGAGTAATTTATAAACTAGTATAGATCATTAGAATGAGAAATGACAAGGTTGTATGTCATGGGGAACTACCATTAGAAATCATTTCTCATGACTTTTTGTCTAAAGTACTCTTCATTATACTTCTGATAAACAGATATACTAAAATGCATAACCAAAAGTAAGTCTAGCAAAAGTAACAACAGAACTCTGGGGTGAGTGACAGTGCAAATTATTTACATTTTCAATTACACATCTCAACTCCCCTCCTATTATCACACATTTTAAAAATACTCTTGGGGGGCACTGTAACTTAAAACAAAAGGTTGTACATCAGAAACCTTAGTTTTTTTCCTTGCTCTGCCACTAACTAGCACAGTGATCCTGAACAAGTCTACTTCTTCTATTTTGACTTAATTAAATCTCAGCTTCGCATTTGTAAAACGGCAATACAAACCATATTATTAGTTAACATTTACTAGTATTTGCCACATACTGTTAAACAGCATAGCAGGCTTTTTTTTTTTTTTGCAACAACTGCATGAGGTACGTACTCCATTTTACAAACGAGGAAACTGAGGCACAGTGCAATGTAATAAATTCAACAGTACATAAATGGCAGAATCAAGATCTGAACTCAAGCAGTCTCATTTCAGAAAAGGCTGTACATTTAACTACTACCTATCCTATGTCCTTACTGCTGTAACAATAAAGACAGCTTCTAGGAAAGCACAGTGCAATGATTTGCGAACTCTGGGAGGCAACATCCTAAAAAGTGAATTTATTTTCCCCTTTGCCTTGTCATTCGCCTGGTGAAAATACCGGTAAAGGGAGAAAAGGTGGGCAAAGAGGAATTAGCCAGACAGCTAGGATTAGAGATTTCCACTGCAATAACCTGCTTCTTCAGAAGGCTGTTCACCTTTTCTCTTGAAATGCTTGACTCAAAAGTTTGATCTTTTGGGGTCTGAATAATAAAGTTCTAATAAGCACTTCAGTGTCTATCAGCGGTCAGAATGACGGCCGATTACAGGACTGGCATACCCAGGACAGATAGTTAAACAGCATCCCACAGGCTGTGGGGCGAGCCTCAGGGAATTGCCTGGGGAGAGTTAGGCCACAGAAGTTTGTCGAGTGTGCTAGAAGTTCACGCCCCGGTTTTTAAGGCTACGAGTCACGCCGGCCACGTTAGATGACGGGGCGCTCGCAAGGTCTCGCTTTGGATGAGGAAGGGGCTCGCGGCGACCCTCCTAAACTTCACCACGGGCCTGCGCGTCCACCTGAGGGCCGGTAATGGACTGAACGCGCCCTCCTCCAGTCGGGTTCGGCAAGGAGACCCGGGGCGCGCACCCGGAGGTAGGACCCGAGCTCGGCCCAGCGTCGCGGGGCTGGGCCGCCGCCCCTCCGCCTTCCCCACCGCGGTCGCAGGAGGGGCGGGGCCGCCGCGACTCTCGCCCTCCACCGCCCAGCTTCTGGGGGAAAGGGGAGACAGGAGTGCTTCGGCCCACGGACTCGGGCCCCCGCGCGCCCCCTCCGTCCCTGCCCCGTCCCCACCGGCCGCGGCGCCCCAGGTGAGGCCTGGAGTCCGGGGCCCGCCTCGGGCCTGCGCTCCGCCCGGCTTCTCGGGCCGCCATGAGGCGGGGGAGAGGAGGCGGCGGCGGCTGCGCCGTCTCCGGCTTCTTACCGCTTCACCACGCCGGTTTTGATCTTGATCTGCCTCACGCGAGGATCGGCCATGGTCCCTCGAGCGCCACGGGAAGGAGGGGCAGAGAGCCGGGGTACCCGTGAAGGGAGACGGCGCGAAAGAGGCGGTTTCGTCCGCGTAGCCGCCGCGGCCCGGCGCGCATGCGCACACCCCGGCGCGCCCCCGGCGCCGCAGCCACACCCGCGGGGCGGGGGCCAAGGGGGGCGGGGGGCGGGTCACTCCTCGCCTGCTGTGCCCCATTCCACCCACTTTTCTCGCGGAACCTGTCCTGCTCTCGCTCAGACAACCCTCCTTTTAGTTCTTGAACAGCCCTCCTTTTAGTGTGGACACAAGTTACACTTTTCCCGGTCTCCAAAGCCTGGGTGTTCGTGGAAACTTCGGTGTCTGCCTGGATAGACTGGCCATGACTTTGCTTTTCAAGATTATCTGCTAAATGGATGAAATGATCTAAAAATTGTCTATAAGATATTTTCGATGTCATTATCTAGCTTCAAATGGGGCAAAATGATGTAGGTTTAAAAAAATAAACTATCATGTGCGCAGTTAAGAAAATCCTTACCCTCTACCTCAGACCTCCGCAAAAACTAGATAAATGCACGTCACAAAAGAAATGACTACAGGACTTAATCAAATAATCATCACCTCTTATGTATCTTAAGTATTCAACTTACAAAAATATATGGCACACAAAAGATTGGGCTTCGTGATCAAGCAAACCAACTGACACTCGAGGTTTTACCCCTCAATAGCTAAATGACACTGGGCTCACATAGGCTCCTTAACCTTGCTGCTGAGCCTGTTGCCTTGCGTGCAAAATGGAATAATAATGGCCGCTTCACAGTGCAGATATGAAGGTTAAAGCTCAATGCCTAACACACAGTAGATACTCAACAGCTTTTGACTATTGTTTTACATTTTCAAAAACCATGTCTATTGCCTAAAGTGAGGCGCACCTCCGGTAAGCTCTAGCAGCCTCTTCCTGACGGTGTCCCCAAGAAACACAGGGCAGAGCCTCTTTGTTTTCTTATTTCTTGGTGTCATTCTTCAAAAACACTTACCTGACTGTCTTTACCCTTCCCTACACTTAATTAACTCATGCTGGCTTTTGTGGCTAGCTCCGGACAGTTCAAGATCCTGCCAGTTAAAATAGCATAAATCCAAAATCAAAACGCACTTCCTGGAGAAAGTCTACCATGACTGACCCCTGCTTATTTAATGCTCTCTGGATTCGTTGGAATCACCCAGTATTAATTTTTATTTTTGGTATATTTCTTCTAAAAACTATTGTTTGAGTCCTTCACGAGGGCGTGCTCACTCTCCTTGTTGGATTATAAACATCTTTAGAGGTAAGAATCTTGTCTTCTCAAAATCTTCCTCTCCTAGCTTCCACCTGTGTTCTGTACACAGCAGGTGTTAAATTCAGTAAATACTGTCATCTGACTGGTTGGCACACTAAAATACAATTTCAAGTGACATAGCAGAGCTATGAAATACTGGGGAGTGGGGGCGGTAGTAAAAATAAAACAAAACAGGAAAACCAGCAGACTCACCAAAGCAAAATGCTACAATCAGAAATCCAGTAGATCATTAACATACAGTTACTGGGCAACCCCTTAAGGCAAAGAAACAACAGCAGTCAGACCCACACACCAAAAGATTGTGCAGCTACGGCTGTTGCTACTGTCAAGGAACAAAGCCCTATTACTCTTCATATTTTCCTTTTTGCCTTGATTTCCAGAACCTCAGAGCTTAGTTTTGCACTGATTTGCAGGATTTCTCTCAGCCTGGGTTTTCTGATGTAAACATCTACTGTTTCTCCAAACCCCCAACTCTGCCTCCACCCATTTGCTTTTTATCTCTTTGGTTTGATGATTTTTGTATCTGTGAACCAGTAATAAACTAGTGTATGTACCAGTGAAAAGACCTCTGCTGATGCTGTATGTACCCAGGGCCATGCCCAGGCCCTCAAAGACAGTGTTTGTGTATCTGTGTCCATGTGTCTATATTGCATGCTTGAAGCTATGGGTTTTGGCCCCATCCCTAAGGATAGGGCATCAGGTGTAACTGTTCCCAGAGTCAGGAATTTACAGCGTGAACTCTGGGGCCAGACTGCATAGGATCACATCCTAGCTCTACTTCTTACTAACTGTGAAAACTTGGACAAGTTACTAACCTCTCTATGCCTCAGTTTCTTCATCTGTAAATTGTGGGTGATAATAATACCTACCTCATAAGGCTGTTACAAAGCTTAAATGAATTAACATTTATAAAGTGCCTAGGACAGTGCTGGTACTTATTAAGCCCCAAACAAAGCATTCATTAAATAAATAAGTCATCTGGGAAAGAGGTCCTAAATAGGAAACTAAGAATACAGTAGGATACACATTTATATGAATATAGAAATATACATGTAATCATTAATGAGATCCCATTGAATTCCTATATGGACTATTAACTCCATACAAAAAGGACCCATGTTGGACTTAATTCACCACTGTATCCCAGCATATGCCTGACACACAGTAGGTACTCAATAAATATTTCTTGAATGAATAAATGCTGCTTTAAAACTCTTTTTTTTTCCCATTTAACAATGTCACAGAGCCTTCTCATTCCAGCAAGAAGGCTACTAAAATAATCTGAAACATCCCACAGCTACCCCGCACCCACTCTCCCTCCACACACACCATCTTTCTCTGGACCTTGCTCCTTTGTATCTGGACTTTGAGAAGGTAGACCAACAGAAGGTTATTTCTTGTTAGTATGGGGGAGTATTAACCATAGGAGGCCTGCAAGGTCTAGTCAGGGAGATGCCCCAGGGTATTTGAAATGGAAACTATGTAAACTGCATTTCTCACTGTTTGACACCCTTTTGTTCTGTTATCCTTAAATCTCAATTGAGTTCTGTTAAAATATTCCAGCCTGTGCCTCAGGTGAACTACAGGAATCAATCTGTAGGAGACTCTATAAGGGATAATTTATCAACATTCAAGATTGGGAGTGGAAGAGATCTGAGAGAGCCCTGGGAAGGGGTGAATCTTGAACAAGCACCATGTCTAGCCATCTCCTCCCTGGGTAGCAATTCTCCATTGCTTATCTTGGAGGGCTGAGGTAATATTTTATTAAAGAATGCTGCAGATTCCCTTACACATACAAGTTGTTTTCTGCACACACCTACAGGACTTTGAACTTAGTCTCACTTCATTCCACTTTCCCCCAATTGACTCTGAGCTCCTCAAGATTAGAGACCACATTACATTCATGGTAGTTTCCCCAGCACCAAGCTTAATGCCTGGAGGCAAGTTGATGCACAGTAAGTATTTGCTGAGTTAAATAAAAGTCAAATATGGGACCAAGATAGATGTCTAATTTTGATGAAAGCAAGAGACCGGTCATGTTTTCACTCTGAGACAACCTGCATGTGATGAGACTTACAGGGCTATAGGGAGACTTACAGTGCAGTTGCTCTGATGTTGTAATTCCCCTTAATAAAACCAGGTGGCCAACTGGAGAGATTACTTAAATAAAGAAGTACTGTTGATAAAAGGATATTTTTGTGAAATGTCTCTAATAATTACCTCTAGGTGCTTGAAAGACTTGAAGTACTTCGTTCATCATTAGGAACTGCACCTCTTCTGAAAAGATCTAAAAGATCCCCTTCCTTCTCTCCCTCTAGGATGTCTTTTCAGATTCTCTTGACCTTCCCTCTTCTGGGAGCCACTGCACTGGCTCCTAGTCACACTCAGACTTTGAACAGCATCACATGAGTACAGACAGTGCCTTCCTTCAGGCCTGGGCCGTGGGCCCCACAGAGGTAGACAAGCGTGGGAACTGCTCAGTACACAAGTGCACAACCCAGTAGTGCAGGGGAACAGAAGCCTGTGGACCATGCTTCCCCTTTCATTCTCCAGGGACCAGGCAATTCTAAGATACACTTCATAAGGCTCTTCAGATGTTCTCAGGAAGTCAAACCCCAGTCACCTGTGGCAATGGTGAACTCAGCAATCCACACTTGGCATTGACTTTTCTTTTTCCTCTGTTTCACTTATTTGTTGCTCCCCTCTGGCCTCCGGAATCACTTTTAATATACTGCACTTGGGAGTACGGTTCTTACTCATTAATCAGGTGATTCAGAACACCAAGTGGGGCACAGAGCAGTGGGCTCTGCATCAGGGCCAGGCCACAGTGCGAGCTCCCCTCAGGCTGTGTGAACAGCAGACCCAGTGATGCTGATGCATCCGCTGGATAAACTGCTATGTATGTGAAGTCTTTGGTAAACCCTGAGAGGACGGCAGCATACAGACCATGCCTACTGAGGTAGAGAAGTACTCACTTTTTAAAAGTTGTTTTTTTATTTGTTTGAGTTTTTGGGGCGGGGGGATAATTAGGTTTATTATTTAATTATTAGGGTTTTTTTTTCTAATGGAGGTACTAGGGATTGAACCCAGAATCTTCTACATGCTAAGCATGCAGACTGCTACTGAGCTATACCCTCCCCACTAGAATTACTCTTTGAAAGACAACTCCAGAAACACTCTGCACCCTAGTAGAGACTTGGAATTGATGTGACACCAAGTAACTATAGGACCAATGCCACTAATTATTAGAAGAGTATTAGCAGACTCACTGTGAGTGGGCATAATAATTATCCATGGTGCAAAAATGGTACATTTGGAATTGGGCCTAAGCAGGTCTGGAAGGCACAAGCAAATTAGATAAATGTGTCCCCATCTCCTAGGACATCTAGCTCTGTTAGTTACACCAACACATCTCCATCAACTCAAACCTATGACCTCCCTGAGGATTCTCTTGACCAAAGTTTTCTAATGGAGAAAGAAAAAATTTGGACCTCATCTACCAACAGGTGAGTACAATATGTTGATGTTAACTGTATATGGATGGCTGCAGCAACACAGGCCAAGTAGGGACTGCCCTAAAGGACACAGGGAAAGGTTAATCCTCCCCAGGCTGCAAAGCTGCAAGCAGAACACTTTATCACTTTGCGTGGAAGGTGAAGTAGCCTGAGGTATGGATTCCTGGGCAGTGATGAACGGCTTAGCTGGTTGGTCAGAGGCCGGAAAGAAACCAAACTGGCAGTTATAGAAAAAGAAATACAGGAATGAGGAGAGCACATAAAGCTTG